AGAGGGAGAGAGGGGGGGGCGCAAGCACACACACACACGCACACACACACACACACACACACACACACACACACACACACACACGCACACAGATTCACAACACATCAGCACAAATGCTAATAATAGTACAATAAATTATAACATCTGTATGCGCATATCCCCACTCGACAGCAAGCTCAATGCGCTTTACAATATATTATGATAATATGATGACGAGGATGATGATGAAGATGAAGATAACGATAACAATAATATAATAAAAATAATAACAAAATAATAATAACAATAACAACAATTTAAAAAATATAATAGTTAGCATTTCGCTACCACAGAATTATTTTTTTTCTGACATTTTTGGCAGTTTTGAATTTCTAAGAGCATGAGATCAGGAATCAAATGCTTTATCTGCTCTATCAAAATCGCAAGGTAGTTCTGAGTTGTTATCAAGATATTCAAAGGCTTGTATTCGAAAAAAAGACATAATATTGTGAAACTCAAATTTTTTTCACGTCAAATCTCTTAAAACTAGATACTGAGCAGATAGAACTATGTAATGCTGAGGTAGCGATTTGGGTAGCCAATGCCCACGCTTAACAGCAAGCTCTGTGCACTTTGCAATCTATATTATCAGCCCAACTGGCCCTGGAACACCCAGAAACATTCTCGGCTTCCTGGGATGTAAACAGAGCACGCAGCCGATTAATTAAGCGGTCAAACACTACATGCCTATCTCGGTTAAGTGAGGAAGATTTTAACAGAGTTCTTAAATTTCCAATTGGGACAATTACGTAACGTATAAACTGCTCTTCTCTTCTCTTCCCTTCTTAGTGGTGGGTAGCCCAGCGATTAGGCTACCGGACTTGTAATCGTGAGTTTGCAGGTTCGGGGGTTCGAGCCTTAGCTCGATCAGACGTTTTGTGCTTTGGGAAAGGCACTTAACGCGAATTTCCCACTTGGCTCGGTCCTTTCGGAGATGGACGTTAAACTCTTAAATAACCAGACAGTGTTAATTATAGGGGCGTTAAACCTATACCATTTCCCCGTTTTCATTTCTTATCTCCTCTTCTCCTTTCTTCTCCTTCCCAATGACTCAGGTCTCCTGTGTGCGACAGCGAAGTAGGCCTACTTAATTAAAACGCCGGTTCATCAAGTCTCGTCCTTGATAAGAAAACTACTTCCACAGAGGACTTGCAACTTTGACCACCCATGAGCAACCAATTCACAAGGGCCCAAACCAAGACGGAGAAGCTGAGAACGTTTCCATATTCCATTAACCTTGATCAAATCACCCCCCTCCCCCTCCCCTCCTTACTCCCCCCAAGACCTCACACTTTCCTTCCCTCTCTACCCTCACCCCCATCTCACCTCCCTCTC